GAATGTTGAGGCTTACTAGAATATGAAAATGATTATTTTAAGTTCTAAAGTAGCCCTATCTTGGAGCTCACTGAAAAACCTATTAGAATACAGAAGACTAAACTACTAAGTTGTACTCAATTCAGTTATAAGCTGAAAGTAAGCTAGACTTAACCAGCAGCAGCTCAGCTCAGGGAGAATTCTCGGTTCTAGGGGAAAGGATGCTTGGGCTTTTTAAAATTACAAAAATAATGCAGTGATTTGAGAAGGCTTAGAAAATGAGAGTACAAAGATAAATGCCCAAAATCGCAACACCCACAGAGAGGCACAGCCACATTTTTAAAAATAAAAACTCCCGTATACGGTGATACCTCAGCTGTCAGTCGGCTTAACACTCAAACTTTCCACTACTCGAACAGTAAAGTTCAGAAAAAAACTCAGTATCTGTAACTCTGCATGATACTCAGACCCAAACTCTTAACTTGAAAATCCTGTACAGGCTGAGAGTGAGTCACACGTCTCGTCTCACCTTGGCCACAAAGAGGTGACACCAGTCTGAACGCCACTTTCCCAAGACAACACATAGTGGTGGTGTGAGTGCATTCAAGCTTTCATTGCTATGTTTTTTGTTTTGCATAAAATATTGTAACCATGGCTCCAAAGAAAGTTAGTGATGACAGCAGTAAAACTAAGAGGAAAACTGAGAACCACGATAGAGTTCAAGAAATCATTACAAAATTTGCTAAAGCCTGGAAAAATGAATTTCTACGTGTAATTTGGGGGCCTCAGAACCTATTATTTGGTTTCCTATTATTTCTTATGGGAAAAATATGTTTAGTTCTCAAACTTTTTGGTGTGTGGATTTGGAATGAATTGAGCTTGACAACCAAGGTATCACTGCAACACATCATTGCAAAAGTTTAAAACTTTCTTCACTTTAAATTAGACTCAGAAATAATTAATTTTGTGACTTTTTAGCTCCAGTCTACTTGGGTGTGAACACCAGGAACATCACTTATTAACCAAGGGACCTGACAACTTGCAAACTTCACTGTACCTTAGTTTTCTGTCTGCAGTTTGGGAATTATGCAGCAGCATATGATGACCAAGGAGAACGGGTAGCACACTTAGAATGTAGTTAGCTCTCTGCTGTTGTAGTCCTCTTTATATTTTACAAAAATCTCACTAGTTTCCTCTTCTCTATTCATGTTTCAGTAGACCAATTACTGCAGTGAATAGATGTATAACCTCAAGACTCACTTAGCTACTTCGGTTATTAGTATAAAGAACAGATGCTTAGCATCAGATGACTGTGCTTGATGAACTCTAGAAAGTCACCTTCATTCCCAAGACTAGTACATTCCAGGGAATAATGGATTAAAGGGAAAGCTGATTGCACATAGATGTTGCACAAACCCCTGAAGAAGTTTCCCGAGTACACAGTCCCTTCACATGGAATCCAAAGTGGGCAGAATTATGTTGCACTGGATGGAAACTTCTACAGGCCAAGCCCTTCTGACACAGCTTCAGGATTTCTATTTTAACATGAAGAGGAGATGACAGAGGATAATTCCTTTGTCCAAAGATACTGAGGCAGAAAACAGAGATCACAAACAATTTTGATTCCCCCTAAGGCCTGTTATTTGACTCTCAACCCAGTATAAGTGCCATTGGGTAGTCAGTCCATAGTCTAAGTCCTTAGTGATTAATGATGAGAACTAGGGAGTGTTACCCTACCACTGTTTCTCCAGAGAAACAAATTTCTCTGTACCTCTCGGATTTCAGACTCCCACACATTCCCTACTGAGCCTTCCATGGTGTGGCATGTTAAGGCATACTAGTTTGAGATCATTTGAATAGATATGCTTTTCATGAAGTCTGAAGTCTTACAGCCACATTTAATCATGTAATTTGAACTTCTGAGGCCAGAAGAAATTCTTTTGCCAGCTTCTAGAAGCAGGAAGCCTTATTTCGCTTTCCCTAAGCCAACCTTCAAGTGACGGTGTAGAAATAATACCTTCAAGTTAGGATTTAAAATTCATCCCTCTAGCATCAACTCTAAGCAATCAGTATTACATGAATCACTGCGTAGTTTTTACATTAATAGCATAATAGATGTGAGCACTTTCTTCTGAATAATCAAGATATCTTTCACTTAAAAAAGTTGTAACCAGAAGAAAATGAATACATAATAAAGTATTACTCAGTTGTTAAAAAAATAATATCCTCTTATCTGCAACAATACAGATGGAACCGGAGATCATTATATGAAATAAGCCAGGAACACATTGGCTTCAAGACTCCAGCATTCACATCTCATCACCTGTGACGTGGGTAAAAGGCATGAGTCACAGTATATAATACTGGCCCTGCTGGGCTTCACTTTTGCTTTTTCGTGATCCTTCTCTATCCCCCTATTCCTCCCTTTGGGGATGGAAATGTCTACCTAGTATCACCTCTTGTGGGGAATATATAATAAGCTCTTTGAACTTTTTACAGCTAAGAGTTTGCCTTGAGTCTCATAGAAGACTTTGGACTTTGGCGTAATGCTGAAATTTGCAGCAACAAGATTAGTACATTTTTGGTTGTAGAGGTATAGTTGAATCATGGTAGGCAGAACAGTGACCTTGTGTTTATTTGGGGATTGAGTATGATTTAAGGAGATGTGTTCGAGTGTCAAGTTGACAAGAGGTGGAAAGTGACAGTGTAAGAAGACTGCCAACTTGATTGGCTCGAGAGCCACCTAGGAAATCAGTGCATGTGTCTGGGGGAGTCACGGAGGTGAGATCATGAGTATGCCGTCTGGTCCCTTGGCCTCTTCCTCACCAGTGCTGTTCCCGTTGTTTAACTGAACTGAGGTCAGCGGCTTTGCTCTACTGCCCTCTTCTGCTGCGGTGTTCCTGCCTTGGAGCCAGCCAGCTGCACACTAAAACCTTTGAAACCAGGAGCAAAACACACCCTTCCTCTCCTTTGAGTTGTGTGTCTGGTATATGGTCCCAGTACAAGAAAGTTGACCAATGCACAGAAGCTCAAGGATGTAAAAGAAAGCAAAGAACAAATGGGTGGAGTTGATAGCGAATCCTACGAAGGTTTGATAAAGAATTTATTATTCCTTAAAAACAACTGATTTGCAAAACAACTTTTGGAAAAGATTAATAGCATAAAACTGATCAATATTTTAAAAAGTTAAATTTTTGTAGGATATAAATCCATAGCTGAATATGTAATTCTTTCTCATTAAAATGGTTCATATGCAAGTATTTTTCAGAGTGAATAAAGCCAAACCTTACATTTCACTGTTATAAACTTCCCTCAAAATATTTACTTCTACATGTGAGTTATTTTGTTTTTTGTTATTGTTGTTGAGACAGGGCCTTGTTATGTAGTCCAGGCTGGCCTCAAATTTATGGTGAGCCTCCTGCCTCAGCCTCCCATGGGCCACCATGCCCAGCACTACATATCTTATTTGAAGAAATTATGTGAAAAAGAAAATCCAGTTTTTCTGTAAAAATAAAAAATGCTTGAATAAATATCATATATACATAAATACACACACACACACACATATATAACAAGCCAGGTACAGACAGACTTATATGTTCTTGCACATACTGCAGAAGTCAGGGAAAAAACTGATTTCATAGAAATCAAGAGCAGAATGATGCTAGGAGGAAAGGAAAGATGGGGTCAAAGTAAGGTTGAATAATGAGTATCCAAACACAACTGGGACAAGTAATATCTAGTGTTGCACAGCACTGTTAGGTAACCATAGTCTACAATATCATATTAATTATCATACTTTATAAAGAACTAGCAAAGAGTTCAAAGGTTCTGAACACAAAGAAATAACGAAGGTGAAAATACTAATTGTCCTGATTTGATTGTAACATACCACATACACGTCTCAAGTTATCACTGTTCTCATAAACGCACACTTTATGTTAGTAAAAATGTTAAAAAACTATTACCATAGAGTTGTCAGATCTAAAAACCGGGGCAGCTGAGACCCATGGATTACATATGGATTCCTGGCACCAAACAGAAGAGTGCTCTTTTTCCTCTGCTATTCTGAATGCGTGTAATTAGAAGGAACTGTTATATGCAAGCAACAATTGTTACGAACAAACGTCCTCATAATCTTTAACAGCAGCTTAAAAGCTACATATTAAAGTGTCACTGTTTATAAAGGTTTAATAAGAACACTAAAGACATTTGAATTTTTAGAAAGGAGTTCCTGAGAAACCAAAACCACCACCCCATAATGACTGGGTGCATCAAAGAAACACAGGAGCAGACTGAAACAGTTCCCAACGACCAAAGATGAAAGAATTTGGGCCAAAAATGTATTTCTTAATACTGATAAAAATGACTGAAAGGAAACAACTCTTCCTTGCAAAAGAATTCCAAGTAAATGGCACAGTCTTGCCCACAAGGAGGTACAGTCCAGGTACTGCCCCTTCAATATGAACTCTGCCTGGAAACTTCCTTCCAACCAGGAGACAAACCCCACTCAAGGGGCATCTTACAATGTAAGTAAAAAACAAGTCAAGTCGGAGAAAGTCATGTAGCCAGAAAGAGTCTCATGAGAGAGGACATTACATGTAAGGTGGTATTCCAGATAGAGTCCTGGAACTGAAAAAAGGACAAACAGTAATGGAGATACGAGTAAGCTATGGACTGTTGTTAATACCAGTGTCAGCTCATTAACTGTAGCTAATACACTAATATAAAATATTAATAAGGAAAACGGGGTGATGGGTTTATGGGAATTCTAGAATAGTATCTTCAATTTTTCTGTAAATCTAAAACTAACAGAACTTTTAAAAATTAGTCTCTGTAGGTATATATAAGAATGTAAGTGCACAGAACAAAGTCTGATGTAACAGCCAGTAACTGTATGATAATTTTCTTGTATTATATGAGTAGCTTAGATGGATGATATATATCCATATAATACTGCCAAGCTAATTTAAGATATTTTGGGGGAAGGTAAAAGAGAAAAAGAACCGGTTGAGGCTTATCATTTATCAGCAGAAAAGTTTTATTTCTTTTAAAGACAAACATCTAAGGGCTTAACTTACAGACACAAACCAAAGTAGTCGTGAAAGCGTTGATACTGAGGTATAAGACACATACATGGTGAGGAAATGCTTCTGGTCCAAAGCTCACTCCAGCTCGGCTTGCAGCAGCTGAGCTCTAGTGTTGGGTGTGGTGGAGGGAAGAGTGTGTCTGTAGACCCAAAGGAGACAGCTGCGTCTACACGCGTGGAAGCTTGCGGACTGCTTGGGCGGGTGTGGGGAGAACAGCCAGCCCCTTCCTTGGGGCCTAGGCTGCCTTGCAGAGGGCCACAGCAGAGAAGCGGACTTCTCCCTGTTCGCGCTCAGTGAACTCTCTGCAGACCTTGGCAGCATCCTAAAAAGGAGGGATTCATTAATACCCAAAGAGAAACAGCTCAAAGCAGACGTTTCAAAGGGAAAGCACTTCAAAGCCTATGCACGCTCAGAGTTTGCCCTGATCAACTCTAAATTCCTCATGAACCTTGAAATCCAGGAGGCTCAAGGCAAGAGTCAAAAAAACTGTACTATCTACCTAGAATGTACCAATAAATTCAATTTAAAAAAAGGGGGGGGACATTGGGAAACGACGTTATCTGCTACAGATAAGCTCTACCACTTCTGCCAAATGGCTCTGGGCTTCTCTTGCCTTGTACCTGGCTTTGCAAGAAAATGAAACTACTGACAACCCTTTTCTCGGGTGTAAACAAGACACAAAACTGATCTCTCTTCCACAAGGAGCATAAGAGAAAAGTTCTCCTAACTCAGAAATTCCTTGAGTAGTGTCAAATTTCTTTCACATATATTTTTATAAAATAGCCTTAAAGTTTACCTGATAAATTCCAGGCACAGGTAAGTGATGGATTCTTAAGAGAGTTATAGAATGATTCATGTTGCTACTTCTAGGGACCTAGATTACAGATTGGTAACAGAAAACTGATCTCGATGTATTTACCAAATTCTAGGCTTCAATGCTTTGGAATAATCCATATCACTCTGTTCAATCTGTAAAAAGTCCAGTGGGAAGACTATACTACAAACCATATCAAATCTAAGAACTTTTAAAATGAAAGAGAACACTGTGTGGTACAGAAGAATTAAGGGAATTTCAGTTCCTAAATCAGATTCAGTAGTGAGGTTAGCTCTTATAAAGCACCAACAAATCTTGGAGTTTTATTTCTCCATTGGAACTACACTTCAAAGCTGAAAGAGATTCAGATTGACATCTGTATTCTCTGTCAGAGTTTTAAATACATTACTATTCCAGACCTTCCTTCCCCAGATTATTAGGGTGCACCTTTAGAGAAGGAGACCCCTCCTCTTCCACAGACAACTCTGCTTCCTCTGTGCACAATGAGCAGTGACCTAGTTCACTCAAATTTAGGAAACTTGGGGTTAAGTTTATGTATTTTCTCACCAGTTTAACAATAAATTTAGTGTGTGGCTTAGACAATTCAAAGTGTCTTTAACCACGTAAGCCCAGTTTTACATAGTATAAGAAGTTTTTATTAAAATGATGGTTTAGATTCATTTAATTTTAAATGAGACTCCAATTAGAGAAATTAGTTTTTATTTCTTTAAACAAAGTTTACCTTCTCCACACCTCACGTGATTTTGGTATTCCATGTGGGCACATTTTTTGTGGTAGTAGTACAGGGTTAGATGGGTACTAACATGCACCTTCAATGCTTGTTTAAAGAGACCAGTCCTTACCGTGCCTGAGTCAACAATCAGAAGTTCTGCCTCTGTTCTCATTCTCTCCTGTGAGTAAAGTCTGCACCTCATACAAATTCTACCAGCCAGCTTCTCAGGGTGTACTTTTCATGTCACATTACTATTCCCACGTTCTTCTATATTCTCAGAATTGGCTTTAATTGATTTCATATGTACAACTAGAGAAAGTGACCTTCTCTCCTACAGGGGCACAATTGGTCCATCACAGCCTGAGGATAACAGGGCTATGATGTTCCAATTTTTGTTTTTTGAGACAGGGTCTTGCTATGTAGCCCAGGCCAGCCTCGAACCTGCAATCATTCTGACTCAGCTTCCCAGGTGCTAGGATTACAGGGTTGGCCCACCACAGTGGCTGGTTCTGCCATTTAATTCACTAACCCTGGACATTACTTAACTTCTCCGCCCGTTTCCTCATCAGTAAGATGAGGACAGTAAGTCTACTGCAGTACATGACTAGAAGGATCCAACAAAAGACAGAATTCACTTGAGGAGACAGCATCTAATCCAGGAGTCAGAAAACTGCAGCCTGTAATCCAGCTTGTTGCCTGTTTTGCTAACACAGCCACTGAGGAACACAGCCAGGTGCAAGACACTGCCTTCAGGCTGCTCGAGAGCAGTCACGGCAAAACTGAATGACTGCAACAAAGCCACAGGCCACACAAAGCCTGAAATACTTTGGCTCTTGAGAGCAGAGCTTTGTGCACCCTCAATGTGCACAATCCAGGGACTCAGAGCAGATTGGCTGTGATTACTACAGAGTATTCTATCATAATAGCACAGAACTCTGTATTTTATCATAAACAATTTTCCTTTACAACACCAAAGCAATTCTGAGAGACTCATTTTTAGGTTGAAGAAGGCTAGACCAGAATTCCAACTCTTGTCAGGGATCAAGGAGTTTCTGCAGTTACCTGCACCAGGACAGTCACACAGCGGTCCTCAATCTTATCAGAGATGTTTCGCTAACAGTGGACCATCTGGGAAGAAAAAACTAAATTCACCTAACACTCAAATCTGTAGTATACTACGTACAAGACTGACTCGAATCCAACAGCCGAAGAGGACTAAGGAAGGCTGTAGAGGATTAAGGAAGGCCCGGGGTGCTGTTACTTGAGTCTTTCTTGATGATGTAATGTGAGAGGAGAATAAAGGATGCCTTAATCCCCAAAGGAAGCAAACAATGGCTCTTAGGCCAATTTCTGACTATGGACTAAAGACAGCACACAAATAAGATTAGTCAGGGCTTCTTTGAAGGATCCTGTTTAAAACCACTAGCTCTAAAATGAGGTAGGTAGAATTTCTAAAATATTTTTAAGCCACAAGGGACTATCAACCCAGAAAATGGAGGCTGACAATACTTAATGGTGTCAGCACCTCAGAAAACGTGGGCTCAAGAGGCTCGGCGGTGGCTTTGAAAGAAGCATTCCCAAGCTTACCTGCAGCAGGGAGTCCTCTGAACTGGTGCCATGGTTCACTGGAAAAGGCATTCGCCCATCTGGAATAAAGAAGCCAGGCGTGTCAACTTCCCCTACCCATTTTCTGGCTATGACATCTGCCCATCCCAAAGCGGGGCCTTTGGATTCTTCTGAATGCCATTCCCACAAAGAGAAGACTGGTAAGGAAGCAATAGGCCAATGAGGTTCAAGTGCTCCTAGATATTAAATCTACAACTGAGGAGATCACAAAATCCCAGTGCACTACACTAACAGAGAGTACTATGATCCCGTCTTTTGGGAAGGATCACAGAGCTAAAAGTCAGATGCAATCTCTCAGGTACCAGAAAGGGAGAGGAAAGAAGGGCTCTTTGACTCCTGACTGTCCCCAACTCTCCTCTGCCCTTGTGAGTCCACAGGAAGCGTTGAGGCAACGGAGTTCCCAGTCTTTCTCCATGACTCATATTCCTTCTCATTGCCATAAGCCAGAAAAAAAATCACTACAATTTACACAGACAAGGTCATATTCAGGCACTGATCCTTCTGTTCTAAAGGTATTCTTTGTCTGAAAAGGACGACACTAGGGGACGGAGAAAGGGAGGAGGGAAGAGAAAAGTCTGAGCACTGATGCCTTCGCTTGGTGCTGCTCTGACGGGTCCTCCTCACTGGGTTGGGTCTAAAGCCATTCATGTGGTATTGTCAGGTACCTGAGAGGGGCGCTCTGGGTATGATGAAGAGTTCAGTGCCCACTGAGCACGTCATTTTACCTTCTTAAACAATGATGTACCAAGTGCCATAAAGGCAGGCATCAATCCTGTAAGAGAAACTAAATCCGAAAGAGTGCATACAACTGTACTGGAGTCCAAAAATGGAGCAATACATACCCAGTTCATAGAGGTGGCCATCCACATTGTTAAACAGAATAAAATGAAAATTCACTTTGTCATCTACCTGAAGAGTCAATTTGAAAAAAAAAAAACAACAAACATTAGAGAAGATGGTCTCATTAAAAGTAAGTTCACAATTCAAGTGGAATACCTATTTTTAAAAAATTATTGTAGCTGATATTTTCTACATACAAAGCTGGAATCTAAGCTCATTAGGTAGAAGATCTGGAACTTTCTTGGCAGCTCTGAGGGAGTGACTATTCAGTGCTTTTCCAGAGGAACAAACGCAGGCTTAGGGAGGGTAAGCGTTTCACTCAAGGCCAGGGCAACCCGCGGCGGGCCAACTGTGGTTATAAAGGTGTTGGCCTCTGACTTGAGTTTAGCAGGTGACATGGAGTCTCTGTTCACATTTATGGCATATTTAACCTGCCAGAACTGACCAGTCTTACTAGTGTATCTTACTCTCCCCATCAGCCCCCAGCAAGAGCTCAACCAGGAGAGAAGTTACCTACTATCACAGGTCTTTTTGGTCTACTACCGATTTGAATTACACAAAACTATTTCAACTGCCAATCTAATTTCTGAAGAGTCATTTTGAGGAACAGATCTAGTCAAAGCATTATTTGAGTAGATTCTGGCATTCAGTGGCTCAAGTGGATAACATTTACCATTCATTATGTTCCAATAAAGGCTCCTGGCAAACGTTTCCCAAGCTTACCTGCAGCAGGGAGTCCTCTGAACTGGTGCCATGGTTCACTGGAAAAGGCATTCGCCCATCTGGAATAAAGAAGCCAGGCGTGTCAACTTCCCCTACCCATTTTCTGGCTATGACATCTGCCCATCCCAAAGCGGGGCCTTTGGATTCTTCTGAATGCCATTCCCACAAAGAGAAGACTGGTAAGGAAGCAATAGGCCAATGAGGTTCAAGTGCTCCTAGATATTAAATCTACAACTGAGGAGATCACAAAATCCCAGTGCACTACACTAACAGAGAGTACTATGATCCCGTCTTTTGGGAAGGATCACAGAGCTAAAAGTCAGATGCAATCTCTCAGGTACCAGAAAGGGAGAGGAAAGAAGGGCTCTTTGACTCCTGACTGTCCCCAACTCTCCTCTGCCCTTGTGAGTCCACAGGAAGCGTTGAGGCAACGGAGTTCCCAGTCTTTCTCCATGACTCATATTCCTTCTCATTGCCATAAGCCAGAAAAAAAATCACTACAATTTACACAGACAAGGTCATATTCAGGCACTGATCCTTCTGTTCTAAAGGTATTCTTTGTCTGAAAAGGACAACACTAGGGGACGGAGAAAGGGAGGAGGGAAGAGAAAAGTCTGAGCACTGATGCCTTCGCTTGGTGCTGCTCTGACGGGTCCTCCTCACTGGGTTGGGTCTAAAGCCATTCATGTGGTATTGTCAGGTACCTGAGAGGGGCGCTCTGGGTATGATGAAGAGTTCAGTGCCCACTGAGCACGTCATTTTACCTTCTTAAACAATGATGTACCAAGTGCCATAAAGGCAGGCATCAATCCTGTAAGAGAAACTAAATCCGAAAGAGTGCATACAACTGTACTGGAGTCCAAAAATGGAGCAATACATACCCAGTTCATAGAGGTGGCCATCCACATTGTTAAACAGAATAAAATGAAAATTCACTTTGTCATCTACCTGAAGAGTCAATTTGAAAAAAAAAAAACAACAAACATTAGAGAAGATGGTCTCATTAAAAGTAAGTTCACAATTCAAGTGGAATACCTATTTTTAAAAAATTATTGTAGCTGATATTTTCTACATACAAAGCTGGAATCTAAGCTCATTAGGTAGAAGATCTGGAACTTTCTTGGCAGCTCTGAGGGAGTGACTATTCAGTGCTTTTCCAGAGGAACAAACGCAGGCTTAGGGAGGGTAAGCGTTTCACTCAAGGCCAGGGCAACCCGCGGCGGGCCAACTGTGGTTATAAAGGTGTTGGCCTCTGACTTGAGTTTAGCAGGTGACATGGAGTCTCTGTTCACATTTATGGCATATTTAACCTGCCAGAACTGACCAGTCTTACTAGTGTATCTTACTCTCCCCATCAGCCCCCAGCAAGAGCTCAACCAGGAGAGAAGTTACCTACTATCACAGGTCTTTTTGGTCTACTACCGATTTGAATTACACAAAACTATTTCAACTGCCAATCTAATTTCTGAAGAGTCATTTTGAGGAACAGATCTAGTCAAAGCATTATTTGAGTAGATTCTGGCATTCAGTGGCTCAAGTGGATAACATTTACCATTCATTATGTTCCAATAAAGGCTCCTGGCAAACGTCTTAGGCAAGAGCATGAGCGACATCCGAGCTGCCCAGCTCGTGCTCAGCTGTGTACTTACCCGACACTGGCCCTCCTGGGCCACAGCATCGTGGGCTGCCTGGATGGCCTGTGGGAGAGAGAAAGGAATTAGCCCGAAACTCTACAAAATGAGCTCAACACGCTGCTCGCCACGTTCTCTACCTCATTCTTTTCAAAGCACTTTGCTCTGTCTTCAGGGGACATCTTCTCTGTTTCAGAAAGAAACTGTTTCAGGACGGATCCATCCTCTTTAAAAAGAAAATGCACCTATTAGTATAGAAACAATGCAAATGGGCACCTTTTTATTATCACCTTAAGCCTTTGCACAGCCGGTCACGCTAAAGAATCTGAATCTTTCATACAGCCTCCGGGGAAACAGAAGAGCAATCCCTTCTCCTCCAGCCTTTTTCCAACCGCTCTGTGCTACTGCATGCCAGCTAGACAGGTTCCTCATTCCCCAGGGTTCCTCACTCCTCACCTCAGGTCACTCCAACCTTGGTCCCTTCCCTCCCACCTCCATGGCTCTTAAATTCCTCATCTCTTTCTAACAGCGTTCATCCATTTGGAACATGTATTTGTAGAGATTTTAGTGCCAGAAAGGCAAGGGCTGCCTTGACCACTGCTGTGTCCACAGCACTTAATGAATCTATTCCAACATTCTCATTATAGTTCTCCAACCAAGATTTTTATTTCAGAGTAGAAAAATCAACCTTAATAATTCAGTTATCCAGACAGACATTAACGTAAAGATCTTAGGTAGAAACATGAAGACCCACACGGTCTGGCTAAGAGACAACTGACTGGCTAACTCTAGGTATAAACAACAGTACATTATTGCTCAGTGTGGAAAAGTCCAGGAGACACTCATCACACAGCTATACCAACAACAATTATTTCAAAAAACCTCCATTTCAACTTTCAGTTCTAAATTTAACAAACTTGTTAGGTGGGGACCACTTCAAAATCCGGAGGGGCTGAGGATGTAGCTCAGTGGTGAAATCCTAGGTCCAGTGCCCACACAAAAACAAAAATCTGGAAGGGATAGGAATCCTCTTAAATCAGAGGAGGACTCTGAGTCAAACTGAGTCTGACATCAGCACTAGCATGGCTACAGAATTACCGTATCATCTGATCTCAGAAACACTGGACTCTAGATTAAATGAGACTTTACAGAGGAAATAGAAAGGATCAGGCTACAATTTTTTTTATATAATTCAAGCAAGTCAATATTTGAAAAAGCAAATTCCAGAAGGTCAGGACGTTAATGGCCAGACAAGCTATCTTCATTTCAAAAATACACCTAGAGTCTTGGCTGTACTTCCCTTATTCAAAATAAGTAAGTAAAATGTATATATATTATACATGCTGGAGATGTAACCGTGATAGGGAAGCACTCTACCACTAAGCTAAATCCTCCACTCCAACACCATCCCCACATTTTTAAACAGGGTCTCCTGTTTCCCAGGCTGACACTGACCTCTCAGATTCAAGTGCTGCTCCTGCCTCAGCCTCCTAAGTATCTGGGACTACACAAATGAGCCATGATGCCCAGCTCTATCTCTGACCTTGCTACAGGCAACGGTGTAAATCATTACTTGAAGTTATTCAATTCTCAGCCTCTCCCAGCCATTGCCTACAAACATCAGGAATTTAGACTCGTAAGTATATACTTATAAATAGTGTTAATGGAACACAGCCACCTTCATAAGTTTTTAACTTATCCATGGCGGTTTTGAGTACAAAGATAAAGATTACGTGGTCCTCTAAGACTAAAAAATTTATTCTCTGGCCTTTTAAGAAAGTCTGCTGACTCAGCCTAAATAACACACAAAGGCCTTGCTACTTTAACGTATTTATTCCTGTTCATTATGCCTTTGCCAATTTTAAGGGCTCAGACTCGTCTCTCTTCTCTACAGCATTCACTACAGGAGGGCCAAAGTTCTTGACCTGACTTTGTACAGCTGCATCTTAAAGTTCCAGCCTGCTGCTTTGCCTCCCTGTAGGAACTCCCTACTATCTGTCCTAAGCAGATCTGTTCCTCCCCTTGCCTACAAGACACAGAACCATTGAAGACAAGAGCTAGTTGGGTGTGGTGGTACATGCTTGTAATCCCAACTACCCAGAAAGCTGAGGCAAGAAGGTCTAAAGTTTGAGGCCAGCCTGGAAATTTAGCAAGACCTTGTCTCAAAATAAAAAAAGAGGGGCTTTGCTCGCAATGCAGATTAGTAGTAGAGAGCCCCAGGGTTCAATGCCACAAAAAGCTAAGTCTCAAATATTTTCTGGCTTAATGACACCTCTCATTTTCCAGAACTGATGAGACCTGAATAGACTCCTGTGAGAACCACTATACAAATCGGCCCTCAAATGCTCTTTTCTCCTTCCCCTCCGCCCCGAGAAGCTGAGGAAATAGGAGAGCGGGTGTGAAGAGACAGCTCAGCACTTGACCCTCTACTCTGGCTGGAAAGAGCCCAACCATGCTTCTTGGAAGATGAGTTTTCTCCCCTCAAAACAAAGAAAACAGTAAGAATTCACTCACAGATTGTATCTGGATAAGTAGTAGCATGACTAAGCAGGTTTCACATTTTTCGAAACAAGCTCTCTTTATATAGCTCAGGCTGGCCTCAACCTTGTGATCATTCTGCCTCAGTCTCCCTAGTGCTAGGATTACAAGTATGTGCCACTATATCCAAATTTAAAAAAAAAAAAAAAGTAAGGTAATGATTTTGTTGAACAGACCTAAGTTTCTCGGATGAAGTTAGTTCACTGTGTTTTCATAGGATTTGTTCTTTTTTTTTTTTGCAGAACCAGAGATCGAAATCAGGACCTTGCATTTGCAAGGCAGGCACAGCATCACTGAGCAAAATCACTGGCTTCACTGTGCTTTCTGAACTCCCTAAGTTTCCACAGAGCGGAACCAACCTCAAAAGCCACACATACCAAATTCCAGTTTGTCTCGATTATTGGCCACTGCGTGGATCAGTCCGATGGTACCACAAGAGTTCCTGATGGTCTGCTTCATGAAATACACTTTGGGACTCACTTCTTGTCCTTTCAGTTCTTCAATCTGTTTTTTCCTGAAGTTCTCATGCTGTGAATGGAAAAAAACAAGTCTGACAGTTTCAAACGCAAAGGTCAGAAGGCAGCACAGTGAGTCGCTCCGCCTAAATGGAAAGCCACATGGATGTGTGACCGCAGCCTTGGGTCATTCCAGATGCTGAACTAAGACAGTGGCCTGTCTGCCTCCCAACCATGACGGCCAGCAGGGCTCTGAGAGGCCCTCAGACTCCACCCTGATGCTGCAGTACAGTTCTTGCCTTGGATGCTGCCCAAGGCTGTGTCTAGACACCACTGCAATCTTCCCGCAGGATGGACGGCACCATGAAGTTAGAAAAGAGATCCATTCTTTATCTTCTCCCGTGAACACTACTGACTATATTTCAAAGACATCCTAATCAGGTTTTGATCAATTTAATGCCCAATATCACCAGCTGGTTTATATTTCACTATTTTTTTAATGCTCTATTTTCTGCCCAAGTAGACTTCTCTTCAAATATGAAAACAAGCTTGAACTGATAAAAGGGGCAAGTGGAAGAAATAAACTATTTCCTCTCCACCCCCTTTTTAGGAAAGACAATTGGCCTAGGGTGTCAGGAGATATATTTTACAAAACTTCTTACCCTACAAGGAAGATGTGACATTAGTTTGTCCTTGCCAGCTATACAGTTTAACCTGAGGTATCAGCCATCTGGGGAGAAGATCCTTTGTTAACTTCTTGTCCAGTGATTCTGTGGCCCTGACCTTTCACTAATGAACTTAAAGATCTGGGAAGTTTTGGGTTTGGTTAAAAGCAGATGCTAATGCTACAGAAACGCCAACTTCCCGTAACAAAATTCAGACAGAACATCGAAAGCTCCGTTCCAAATTCTAGTAGCCTTGAATTACTTTACATGGGAATGAAGTCTGAGCTTGCTCTGTGGCAAAAGCAGAAGAGTAAGATCTCCTGTCCCACCGACCAACTTAAGCAGGAAGTTCTCCTTTCCTGTCTAATAGACCCTTGAATTGCTGCTGACTGTTGAGTTTTCACCTTTCTAGATAAAATTTCACAATTCTTTTTTTAGGACTGTTTGAGCTCTTAGAGACATTTCTGAAAATATTTTGCCAATGATTAAAATGAATGGTTTCAGAAGAGATTCACTTAGGATTTCATAGTATGTTCCCAGTCAAAATGAGATGCTTTCTAAAGTAGCATTGCCTTGTTCATAAAGTCAGCCTACATACTTTCAAAATTTGCTTCAGTGTTTTTCCCAGTAGGCATTCAGTCTGGCAGAATAGGTGCTCAATAAATTGGACAGGCTGAACTGCAGCCAAGGTTAAATCATAAGCCATTCACACTAGAATGTTCTCTGAAAAGATGCATGTGAGCCAACAAAAGGAGATCAGTGACCTTTTAAAGGCAAACCTGCTACACCACTGCCTCCCAAAGGCCTTGCCTAAGTGCTGCTCAAAACCTCCAAGTCATCATGGTTCCTTTAATGAAAATCCTCGGCAAGATGCTCAGGTGGAAGACAGGAGACTGATGCTGACTTGCAGTGATTTGTAACTTCAAGTAAAGGCTTTGGAAATAAACACACCAGTGGAATTTCTAAACAGCTGTAAGCTTTTAACCTACAATTCCTAACCCATCTAGTAGGAGGAAAGCCATTCACCTTGGTTTAGGCCGAGGATGCTTCTAGAACACCTACAGTAGGATGCTGCTCAGTTAACCTCACAGTGTTTGCAGTGATACCCAAAATGCTAATGCCCCAAGTTTTGCTAAAGCCAGTTCCAACCACGCCCAGGTCACAGCAGTGGAAGACAGACGTCATGCTAATTACCAGGAGCCACACACAAGGCAACAGAACACCCAGCCATGTGTTTCATATCTGATGCTCAGTCTTGAGTTACACACGCCCTTGTCCAGCTGGTTGTAAGAGTAAGAACACCTGAAGAAAATGAGAATGCATCTCCAAAAGCTAAGAACAAGCTATTTCACCTAGAGACATGATCAAGAGGCAAGAATATAAAGAAAGAGATGGTAGGAGCATCTTGAAACCAGCATAAATGATTCAGCTTTAAAAGCCACATTCAATACAGTGCTTGTTGGAGGGGGGGGGGGGGAAGTGGGGGGGATCCTCTAAGTCCAAAAGGATCCCTTGCCGTGGAGGTAAATTAAACAACCTCTCCGCTCCTTGTAATTGAGGCAAGCCCAACCCCCTCAGTTGTTTTCTAGGTAGGTGAATATCTGAGAGCCAGACCATGAGCTGACAGCTTACAGCTCTAAAGGAAAAAACACCAGCCACTCCCCAAAGCAGAAAGCTCCAGAAAGCCTCAATTCAAAGGAACTTACAAATAGGGTGGATTGTTTTCCTGAATGACTGGGATGATAGGACTGAGATAACCAGGCTCTAATACAAGGTAACTGTGGATGGATAGGCGAAGAGGAGCCCAAGGGTTAGGTAACCATGAAAGTGAAGGCAAGTCCCTCGCTGGCAGGTGCGGCCCTCACTGCCCCATAGGAGCGGGCCGGTGAGCCAGTCACCCGAGTTTGGAAGCACTGTGTCTGTTCAGAGACCTCTTTATTCAAGCCCCCACTCCCTACCTGGGCGGTGAGGGGAAAGAGCAGCAGCAGCGCGCAGGCAGGCGCTGGCACCGAGCCCAGAGCCTCGTCCTCCAGCCCTAGTACGTCGGCGAAGCGCCACTGGCCGGCCACCCCCAACCGCGACAGCACCTGCGAAGACAAGGAGACCAGACAC